TAAATTTGCAGAGGGTTTTAAGATAGGTGGGAAAGCAATTTGTCAAGAGGAGGTAAGAGAGTCTGCAAAAGGATATAGACAAGCAAATGTTTGATAGAAAACTTGAACTTTTGTACTTTGGCAGGAAGAATAGAAAAACGTACTCTTTAAAGGCCGAGAGATTACAGAATTTGGTGGTATAGTGGTATCGGACTATCCTGTTGTACACAACATTAGTATGCAGATATGGCAAGTGATTAGGAAAGCAGTTGGCGTGGTATCATTCATTGCAAGGGGCTGAAGTTTAAGAGGAGGCAGTTTTACTGCTGCTGTACAGGGCATTGATAAGACTTTATCTGGAACTTTGCATGTAGTTTTGATGTCTTCATTTGAAAAAACAATTATAATTATGTTAAAAGCAGTTCAGATAAGGTGACCTTGACACACTATTGGAATGAAGAGATCCTCTTGTACAGAAAGGCTGAATAGGTTAAACGTATAGTCTTTGGAATGAGAGGTGATTGTACCAAAATATACAAAGTCCCAAAAGGATTTAATAATGTGGCTCCCGGAGAATATTTACTCTTGTGAGGGAGGCTCTAAGTAAGTTTAAGAGCGAACCCTTTTAAGACTGGAATGAGAACATTTTTTTTCACTTAAAGTCCATTAATCCGTTGTCACAATTCACTGGGGTAGCAGGCTGGAAATCAAGCCCTGCTATTCCCAGAATTTTCACAAAAGTTAAATATTTTAGAAAAAGTGTGTGAAGATTCCCCAATTTATCTGATTTTCAGACCCAGTTTGAGAGAAATCATGTACCTGATTTCTATACTTAAGAATTACTGTTTATTACAAATGATAAGACTCTAGCTGCAGGTTAATACTTATAAGCCATTGGCATTTAACACTATTACTTAAAACTCTAACTCCCTTATAAACTCCTCCTTCCACATATAATCTCTGTCTCCCACTCTGTCTTTCATACACTTGTGCGTGCATGTAAGTCAAGGAAAACAGCTCAGCAGTCTTTGTTCACAAGATCTATTGAGTTGTTTCATGATGATCAGAAGATTTTTGTCTCGCTGTTCCTTTCCTGAGATCTTCTACCAGTTTGCAAGAGGCACAGTTCACTTACAAAATGTCTCTGACTTATCAATTAAAAGTCATTGCTTACAGCAACTGCTGAAAGAACAATTAACTGTTTATCGTCAGGATTCAACTGGTTTACTGATGAGAACTTAGAGAGAGAGCTCCTGAGCTGATAAAGATCTGATCACTTGTCTCTGTATCATGTTCCCAGCCCAAGCTGTTTGGTTCAGCAGGCAAATGTCTTTTGTCACTAGTCCATAGACCCATCAACTACTGTTCCATCTGAATACAGAATGTCTTGGTTCCAGTTTTTCTACAACCGAATCTTTAATTACTGCTTGTTGAAACAGCTGTTTAAGCAATGCTTACTATGAATGTCATCTCGCTTGTTTTTCAAAATATGCTATAAACTCTTGCAAAATATTGGTTTTAAAATACTTCTTTTTCATTTCAGTCCATAATTACAAAAAGCACAAAAATAAAAATGACACAGCCTTTATACCGTGGAATTGTCGTCTTTAGAAAGTAGTGAAGGCTGTGACATTTAATTCATTCAATGCAGAATTAACTTTTATAGAAAAAGGAATCGAGGGTTACGGGGAGCAGACAGGAAAATGGAGTTGTGTCCATTGCCACATTGCTGACAATCTAATTGAATGCTGGAGCAGACTCAAAAAACGAATGTTTAACTTCTGCTCCCAATTCTTATGTTCCTGTTTTTGTGATTGGCAGAGTGTGTACCACATTCAACCAGCCGGTGGTTGCTAATCCCCGCCTTGATCTCATAGGGTAGAACTTGATGAAACAGTTCTGAATATACTAATAGCCATGCTCACAGACAACTTCAGTAAAGTAGTTGACTTTGTAAAGTGGCTGTTTTAGTCTTGCTAGAAACAACTTCTATTGACAAAGAGGAATTCACTGTCGAAACATAAGAAATACATTCAAGTCCTGCTCCATTTTTGGTCTACAATTCTCTGTAACTTTCTCTGCAGCAACACGCCAGTCAGTTGGACCCAACTTGCCGACCAATCACAATTCTTTTCTCTTAAGCTGTAAACTGTCACTTTTGTTTGCAATTTGATGCTCCCATGTTCTTTAGAGTGCAAGGCAAAGAGCTTTGTCAACATATCTGTCTTTTCAGCAACATCCAAATTCTGAACGGCCAAATGGCTATCTAAACTTTAAAAGTAGAAAAGACTTTACATCCCCAGTACTGGCGTCCCATGCTTTGAACCTGTGTGTTACTTCAAATGCGCAGAGCATTAAAGGCGTATATTTTGAGCAGAATATTTTATTATACAGCAGGGAAACGTTGGAAGCTTATTGTTCGGTCCCATCAAGGCTGATATTGTCTGATAGTAAATGAGTTAATTCATTCTCCGATAAAAATATATTTTCACGGCCTTGAATGTTATAGTAATGACTGTGTCTATTGATGTTCGCTTCAGGGAAATAGAACCTTAATGATTCTCCTCTCCAGGTGGTCTACTATATCTAGAATCTTGATTTACAGCTCTGTCTTTGGTTCTCATTACCACATTACATTGCAGATGTGATCTTGTACCATGAAGTGAAGTTGCTGATTTGATTGAGTTGCTGATTTAAGAGCAGTATTTCACTGTTTTACCATGTTGTTTGCATTTGTGCTGGTCTCTGGCTACCACCAAGCAGAGGCCAACCTGTTAGATTTGGTGGCAGCTCAAAAGGCTGGTGGAAAAATATGATTGGATAATTAAAGTAAATTAGGCAGTTTTTTTCTTAATTGTAACATTGTTTAATATATGGATTACATAGCATAGGAATGGGAATAGGCCATTCAGCCCCTCAAGCCTGTTCCACCAATCAATGAGATCATGGCTGTTCTGTGGCCTAACTCTACATGCCATTCAGGGTGGCATGGTGGCTCAGTGGTTCGTACTGCTGCCTCGCAGGACCAGGGACCCAGGTTCTATTCTACCCTCGGGCGACTGTGTGGGATTTGCGCATTCTCACTGTGTTTGAGTGGATTTCTGTCGAGTGCTCCGGTTTCCTCCCACGGTCCAAAGATGTGCAAATTAGGTGGATTGGCCATGCTAATTTGCCCGTAGTGTTCAGGGATGTGTAGGTTAGGTGCATTAGCCATGGGAAATGCGGGGATACAGGGATAGGATAAGGGGATGCATGTGGGTGGGATGCTCTTCAGAGGATTGATGTGGATATTTTGGGCCAAATGGCCTGTTTCCACATTGTAGGGATTCTAAGGATTCTACCTGCCTTTTGGCCCATATCCCTTTATCAATTAAAAAAAAATTCTATCTCAGATTTTAAATTAACAACTGATCTAGCATCTACTATCATTTGTGGAAGAGTGTTCTGGACATCTCCCACCCTTTGTGTGTCGAAGTGCTTCCTAACATCTCTCCTGAACAGTTTGGCTCTAATTCTCAGGCTGTGCCTCTGGTTCTAGAATCCCCAACCAGTGGAAATAGTTTATCTACTTTGTCTCTTGCTGTTAATATCTTGAAGACTTTGATCAGATCACCCCTTCACCTTCTAAATGTTGTATTATCATTGATCTTCATTTCAGTTAAGTTTGTAATCCTGGATAATTCTCTGTGGGCCACCATTTCTCTGTCACAAACATAAATTCAAATTTGATTTAGGTTGCAATATAGTATGTTTGGATTTATAAGTTTTCATCCCGTGATGCTATTTGTGCAATTTTCGCTATGGTATACCTACTGCATGTTTTGCTTTTGTTTTGTGTAGAGTCAGATTAAAACTTAAAAGTTTCTTTTGGTAATTCAGAGTTATAATAGGTAGTAGTTAATCTCCAATTTTAAAACTTAGTAGCAAACAATTGTTTGAGTCTGAACCTAGGAGTGAATAAGAATTATTTTTGGTATTGGAGGTTTTTCTTAAATTAACTAAAATAAGCAGAAGTAATAGGAATGATTTTACTAATAAGTTATAAAGTCCCACAGTCACTGAAGCGCTTGACAAAATTACAGCTTTGTGAAGACCTGTCGGTTATATCATTATTCTTCATTCACCTTGTTTCATGGATTATCATTCGTGTATCTAATTAGTGAAACATTATGTGATCATAATCCAAGGTGATTGTGGAAGTTTACTGAAAACTTGCAGTGCTTAGTATTAAAGTGGAATTTTGGTGATGGATGTCTGAAGAAGGAAGGAACCGAGATTTGACACCGAGAAAATTGATTTTAGTTAAGATTAATTTGATAATTTTTTAATTGATTGTTTTAGAATTAAAAGTTATTTTTCATTCCTTTTCTCTCATTATGTTTTGCCATTTTGTGAAAATAGAAGAAGGCATTCATTTATATGACTCCTTGTGAGGTCTCAGGGTGACCCACCAAAATACTTTTGTAGTATAGTCATTGGTGTTATGTAGGCAATACAGCTGCAGGTTTTTTAAGAACAAGATCCAACAAACAGCATTGTGATGACTGAATAATTTGTTTTAATGATCTTGGTTGAAGGATAAACAATTACACCTTATGTCACTTAGAAAATCTGTGCTCCAAGTCCCTGTACCCTGCAGTTGGCTATCAGTGATAGGTGAGGGCAACTGAAAGTCATCCGGCTTTTCATATTTTCTTTCTTCTTTCCGTGTGAGAAGGCACCCAGACAGCGTATGGTTGAAATGCAGGTTTTGAATCTCGAGATGTCCCTTATTGTTTCATTGTTGGAATTCTAGTCATTTGTGTGACCCTCTCATTCTCTCAGACCTTACAGCTTGTTGCCCGTGGAAACAGAACAAGTTATGAATGAAATCTAATGTGATACCTAGCAGCATTATATATTTTCTCTGAATCAACTTAACTCAATGTTTACCCTGTGCTTATGAAGAGCAATATATAAAATGCAACAGTCCTTTATTTAGTTGCAAGAATAATGAAGAAACCTTCATTTTTGTGTTGCAGGCTCGTGATGGGATGAAAGGTATTTTGGATTCTTATGACAATGAGTTGGCCAGCAATTATTCACCACAGCTAAATCGAAGGGTCCGTGAAGCAGAGGATATGGTGCAGGGTCTACATACCCATATTGCAGAGCTGGACGTAAGCAGCTACTGAATTCGTTTGTTCCAAATTGGATAACGCGATGAAATGGATGCAGTTCTGGCTATTTGGAATTTGATGTTTGGATCACAGTCTTTATGAAGAGTATTCATAAATATACGTCTGCATTAAAATTACTTGGAGATTACATTACTGTAGCCTCACTAATTGCATTACAGCTACCCCCCAAAAAAGAAACATGGCCATCAAAGTAGAGATCTGAGGAACTTGTATAGAGTGTAAGTTGTATGCGTACATAATGTTAGTGTTCATTAATGAATCTAGGGAGAAATTCAGAAGAAGCTTATTTACTTGACAATGGCAATATATAACACACATTTAACCGTGCAGAGAATTTGAAGTGATCAGGTAGATGCATCTTATGGAAAGCAGTGTTGATTGGGTGAGATGAAATAAGGTGAAAGGGAGGCTCATGTGGTGCATAGCACTCGCACAGACCAGCTGGGCTAACAGACTTGTTTCTTTGTTGTAAAATTCCATGTAATAAATTATCTGAATTGGCTGTGATTTCACACGTTATGGAAAAAAGTTGATGACTTTTTTCCTTTGTATAGGTTTGTCAAATGTTTTTCAAGTCAGTAATGCCTTAAAATATTGTGGCATTGACGTAATAATGAGCCTTTTTTTGATTTTTGGATTTCTTTTTTGTGAAAGTTGATTTTCAAGAGATATAACCTTTCAATATCAGCAATCAACAAGTAGAATAGTTGAGATGGTACCTTACCATGGGGAAGTAATAGGCATTGTATTTCTTAAAGGTGAGATCAAATGGGCTGAAGCCTTGATTCATTTAACTCTCTTGTATTTTGATACAATTTGGTTAAACTCCATTACGACAAACTGATGATGAAAAATTTCACATTTTGTGTTGGTGAGATATGTTTACATAATTACAATTTGAATTATGCTTTGCTACAGAAGTATTTTCCAAACAGTGCCAATTAAGGAAAAGTCTGCTTGGTTTTCTGAAATCAGAGAATTTTACTGAAGGAAATACCTGGACATTTCCAGCAAACCTCTGTCACTTCTTTTGTATTCTAGAGTCATGCTGGTTCACCTATTTTAGTTAATAGCTCTAAATTATATTATCATACACCTTTCTTATATTTTTGGTGCCTTTTATTAGTTGTTTAATTCTTTCAAAACTGATGGTCAAAACCATTTGAAAGTGCTTTACACTGACTGCATAATAAGTGTGTTTGTCAAAGCTACGTTTGCAGAAGTCTCTGCAATTATGTGTATGCATGTGATGCACTCAGCCAAGGCATTGAATGATGAATTGAGATGATAGTTTTTGTACTGAATCCAGAATCAATTAATTCTTATACTATGACTGACAGAGTAAAATTTATAATGATCTTTCCATATTTTGAAACTGAACTTGGACTGTTGTAAGCATTTTGGATTTCAATTTGTTTGGCACATGATGCTTAATTAACATTCCACTATAAAACTCCTTTTCTCCTACAATGTACTTGATAAGCTTACAGCAAAATATTTTGACTCAACAAAGTTCTGTCATTGATGTGCAGTCAGCTGCATTCTCTCTCCTTCAAATTCATCCCTAAAATTCTTAAAAGTTTAATTACTGAATACTTGTGCTGGGCTAATTCTTCACTTTGCTGTTTATGTTGTGAGACTATCTATAAATTGAAATAATTGTGTAAATTTAATCCAAATATTCGCCACTAATTTAATGCTGTCCATTTCAAAATCTAAAATAGGTATTTAACCAGATCACTGTTTACTATTTCAGGTATTAATTTATGAATTTATAACTGCACATCAATTTTGACAAGAATCCTGAAACACAGGTTTGAATTAACATTAGTGGTCATTTTCCGACCAGTGATCCAGCTCCCTTCATTCCCTCCATCTGTGACCTATAGTCGCAGCAGCATGTACCATGTGTAAGGTGCACTACAGCAACCCACCAAGGCTGCTTCAATAGCATGTTCCAAGCCTGAAGCACTTCCACCTTGAATGATGAGGCCAGTAGATGCACAATAACCCACCACCTGCAGGTTCCCCCTCCAAGCCACACACTATCTTGACTTGGAACTATATTGTTGTTTCTTCACTGTTTCAGTGATTCTGGATGTCCTTTCCTAATAACTCTGTACGAGTACTTACTCTCATGGATTTCAGTAGTTCACAGAGCATCTCATACACCCTCCCTCCTCTCATGGACAATTAGGGATAGGAAGTAATTTCCTGTGTAACCAGTGATGCCACATCTTGTAATGTCTGAAAGATAAAATTTGGGATGGGCAGTGGGTTTATACAGGTTGGACTGGAAGTTGATGACCAGCTTGGTAGCTTTAGTTTGATTTTCGTTTTGGAAAGTTTGCTTTAGCAGACAGACCACCCTGACAGGTTGCTTTCTTCTACTCATTAACGATGTATGTTATTTGGAAGTCAAAGTTTGCAGTTTGTGTTGTTTTGGTTTTTTACCTGAATTAGGGAAGAGTTTCATATCCAGTTCTGTGCTTGTGCACTAATCTGTGATCCACACCAAAATATCTTGATGTCTCTATACAGTGACCTACCACCAGAATGTCAGAGCCAAGGTCAGCACCAAGGTCAAAACGGCAGGTACCACCTCAGATGACAAAGCCAACCCAGGATATAATACATTACTCACCTTGGTATATCCAACAGCAGAGTACTGCTGCTTAGGGAGCTGCTTCACATGGTAAACATCCGCCTTGGGGAGGACATGCAAATATTGTGGAATGGAATGGAATGGGCAATAAGTGCTGGCTCAGACAGTGATGCCCTCATCCTACAGTGATGCCCTCATCCTATGAGTGAAGTAAAATAAATATTGAGACTAATGCAACTGAATTGGCTTCTCAAGTCCACATCCTCCTCAGGGAGCACCACCAGCCAAAAGGTAACGATGCACTCCCACTGACAGAGGTCCTCAATGAACTGCGCATACTCATCTGAAATCTTGTAAGCCCTACTGAAAGTCTGTATATTTCCTAGTCATCCTCCTTGATAGCACACTTAGTCGTTGATTGTCAGCATCAGCAGCTGTAGCCTGCTAGCTGCTCTAGGTGTTGGAGTCCTAAGTCTCAACCTTTCTTGGAAAATCTGGACTATCGTCAACCTCTTGATGACGGGTCAGGGAAGATGTAATCACTTACTGTCCATATGAAAAATGAGGAACAGAAATTGTCGGACCAACATTATACAGTGAACATCTTCCAGACAGGTGCGTCCCTGGTCACATTGTCACCCTTCATGCTGTGACAGCTAAAGAAACTTGAATGGATTGTTAATCTCAATATCAGACTGTAACTGCTTCCCCAACCAGAGGAGGAAAGAAAGGGATGAGCAAAAAGTGCTGACTTTGTAAGTGACTCTCACATCACATATTTGAATAATTAAAAAAAACACATTGCAGTGCTACAAGTGCTCTTCTAGCAACACCCCAGGGCAATGGGAAATGACCAGTAAATCCTCAGTTACATCCACAGCTCAAGAATGAACTCCAGAATGATCTTGCTTCTAAATGATGAGAGATCAATGGGCTGAATGTTATCATTTTTCAGAGCAAAAATGTGTACCATTTATCATTGTGACATTTGTTGTTCTTTATCCACAATACCTGTTATTTCATATGTCACTTGAGATCAAGTGGTCAAGTGACTTGCATTGAGACTTCGACAATAATTGTCCACTTGTCAGTTAAATGCATACAATAGTGGACTGATGACAGTCCCTGTGTGCTCATTCCTCTGTTTACTTGGAGCTTCCTCAATACACCAGAGCTGGATTGGCAGCTAACCAAGTAGGGAGGGGGAAACTGGATGATGCCAAGGACTGGTTACTCTGATATGCTGTGCCATCTTGACCCTTCTTTTATGGTGTAGTGTATTGATTGAGCATAGTTCTGCTGAAAGTTGTTGACCAGAGACGTAAACCTTTCTGTACTCTGCCCATAGATACAGTATTTGCTTTTTCTCTTTTTATAGTGAAAGGTGTTGCACCAACGTACTTTGCTAGAAGTACTCATAATTGAGTTTGACAGAACAGAATGCCAGACGGAGCTATAATTTCAAATTGTGACCTTTTGAATTATGAAAGGAAAACTATCAGTATTATATCTATTTCAAACTACCAGACATAAAGTATATTTCCTAGGTCAGAAATTGTTTTTGCAGCTGGCGGCTGAACATATGGCATTTAATGTGCCAACTTTGTCAAAGTTCCAATTAATTGATTGAGTGTACATATGGCATCGTTGAGACATAAATCACTTCAGCACAAATTTTCACATTAACCTTCTCACCAGCTGAGAAATGTTGTGGAGGTTGTGTGCCAACAAGCTGAGAGGAGACAAACCACGATGAAATAATGCTGATGCTAAGATTAGTTCAAAGCGATCTAACATTCTGTCAGTAACCAAATTTCATATCTCCAGCATCTGATTTTTTGCTTTGATAAATGAGATGATTTTCTCCACTTTTCTCTGAGGATGAAGCTGCTAGGCGCACCTGAGCTACCTGGCCCGAGTGGCTACTCCACATATATGCCTTTGAATAATGAATACTTACAAACTTATTCAGCAGCAGGAGAGGACATCATAGCTGAGCCCATCCAAATCTTGCTGAAATTGCAACTGTGCATGTTTTGGCAGTCGTTAAAATTACATTGGATAATTGTATTGAAAATGTTACCATTTATAGAGGAACCAAAACCATTTGTAGTAAAGTAATGAACTCAGCAAACTTATTCAATAGAAAAGTGCTGAGAATGTAGAACTTGCTGACATATGGAATAGTGGAAGCAATAACGGATGTGTATTTAAAGGGAAGCAAGCCAAGGGAGTCGTGAGTCCAGACCAGCACTGGCAGCCAGATCTGCTGGAAAGCATTTCCTCGGCACAGAGCAGTGTCTGCTTGAGCCTGGTATCTGTGGGCTTCCTCTAGATCCTATCACCTACCTTTTCAATGAAGTCCGACTAGAAG